GCAAAATTCCTTTTTGAAATGGGAAGGGGCCAAGGGCCTCCACTCAGTTGGCCTCTAGAAGCTGACAAAGATAAGGGAACAGAGTCTCCGCTAGAGCCCCCAGAAAGTAGCAAGGCCCTACTATCATCTTGGTTTCAGCCCAGTGAGAGCCGTTTCAGACCTGTGATCTCCAGAATGGTAAAATAAATGTGTGCTATTTTCAGCCTCTGTATTGGTGGCCATTTGTTCCAGCAGTCCTAGAAACCAGCAGCCTCTGTATTTGTGGCCATTTGTTCCAGCAGTCCTAGAAAACCAGCACAGGGAGGGGCTGGAAAGAATGGGGGGAAGCTGAGGACAGCAGTGCCGGTCTGGCCCTCGTTAAGGAGCGTGGGCACGGGAGCAGAGAGGGCTGGGCAGAGGGAGTCTAGGTCTGCAGCACATTTCCAAGAATGTTTCTGGCCAGGCCAATGTGGAGTCCCCAAGCCAGAAATCCTGCCTCTCACAGGAATACACCTGTATTAGAATCCCTGCTGTGCCGGTCCATGGCTGAGAGCAGTTCGTAGGAGGCTTGGTCTCAGCACCATACACATGTGGATCCCCAAGGGCAGCAGCTGGGTTGTCTACCGTGTGCCCTAAGTAGCCTCCCTGATCTGACCCAGGATCTTCAGTTTTAAAACGAAGACAGCCCTGGGAAAACTGGGATAGCTGGTCACCCTATCCCTGAGATTGGAGACCTGATGTGAGCACCTTCACGCCCAACATCTTTCTTATCTCTGTGACGCCCTCTTGGAATAGATTTTTGCTTATGGTGACAGTTTACGGCTAGAAGACATTCTCACCACCTACCCTGGAGCCCATTTCCCCACCCTTCCCGATCCATCCCGATTAGACAGAGTGCGAAGTTTCCAGTTTAGTCCTTTGTTTTACTTCCACACTTCTCCCATAAAGAATCTGGGCCAACTGCTACATCCCTGACCCTTCTCATCATGAGATTTGGAGCACTGGCTAGCAACATGCCTACTTTAGCTCTTGCCACAAGGGTCTCTGTTTCCACTATGGGAAAAGCAAATACTGGTTCCAAGCTCATTTTCTTATGGTTCCAGTCAGCCACCCAATGCACTTCTCACCTTCGACAGAAACATGAGTGGTCATTTCTACTTTATAAAGTCCTAAGTCTCTTTGATTTGTTCCTGCATCTGTGCCAAACACAGCATCTCTAAGTTTCATAGGGAGATGTGCCCACAGAATATGATTATAGCCATCCTCCTTGTGGTCAAAGTTTTTTCAATGGAAGCAAATTAAGTGGCTCAGTTTTCAACTTGGGACACAAATGGACTCCGAGAAGTCCTTGGATGGGAAAGAGGTAGACAAAACTTGCTATTAGCTCTCAGAACCCTTGCATTTGGTGGATCTGATCTAAGTAAAGTGAGCTATACCTACATCCACTTGGACTACTAAGGTCTCCCTTGTTTCATATTTATTTTCCTATTTGTATCTTTTAACTTTTCAGTAATGAAAATATGCTGCTTCTGCATAAACCTTAGTGACTTATTTCTAGTTAAAATAATAAACTATCTTTAAATATGCTTAAATGAAATTAACATAAGGGTTTATGTAGCAGAATTAAAATAGTAAAGATATAATAAATGCAAAATATATAATTATTAAATATTAGGTTGCCAATAGAGGAATAGGCCCATCAGCGGAAAACAATACAGAGGTCAAGGCCTTACTAACATCACGGAAGCTATACAAACCACTGAGATGTGATACTGTTTCTTCAAGACATGCTTAGCGGGAAGTGAACTAGTGAAAAGAATATAACTACACATCGCACAACACATACACCCAAATACCTCCAGAGTGGAAAAAGCATTCAGTCATTTTAATGAAGCTATCATACCACTAACCTTTTTAGAGCAAAATATAAATAAATAGTTATACTATTGGTAAGTGGTAGAAGATTGTTCAAACAAATAACAATGAAAGTTACAAAAGGAAATCTCAATACATTTGGCCGCAGAGACTTATAGTCAAGTAAACTTAGTCAAAATATAGGAAAAAGCATTAACATTCAAAACTATTAAAAGCATTCTTGTGTGTTACAGTTAAAGGATGGAATCACTTCACACGGCACCCACCAGGACCAGAAGATTTCTGGGCTTATCTTAGAGGGACAAGTGTTCAGCCTCACCCTCTTACCTGAAGAGAACGTTTGCTCTTCAGTTTTGTGTCATCATTTAATTCACTCGCACCTTAGTGTTCTCACCAACTTACAGGTGTGAACACATTTGCATTCTATGAGGAACTTCATGCTATCAGTATTAGCACAGTAGAGATAGGATAGAGTGTTCTTCTCCTAGTAAACATTTCTTTCCCCACTGTTTTATAATTTACATCACAAAAGGAGAAACAGAAATATTTCTCCACAGTAAACACAACTTCAGTGTATCACCTTGGTATCACATGTCATTTACAAAGCATAATGTTAACAACACAATCAATTCTCATAGTGAACAAAATTTTGGTGGATACAACAAAATGTGTTTATGTATCTAATATCAGAGCTCATATAACATCTCATTTTTTGAATATTTTTTTAAACTTTCCTTATATGTTTTAATGTCACCTAATATGGTGACTGCATGTCAATATGTCCTTGCCCATGATATATCGAGATTTAAAATTTCTTTTTACTTTTCTTTTTTCAATTTTATTATTTTCAGACATGAGGCTTTTCTGTGTTGCCCAGGCTGGACTTGAATTTCTGGGCTCATTTGAGACTCTGTCTTCAGCTTCCTGAATACATGGGACAAATGTCAAGTGAGTTACTGAAAATAGTGTAATTTGTATAAAACTTTATCAATAAGACCTTTTCTTACATTCTACATATTCCTCTATCAGCCATTTTTTGCTTCAAGTTTTATGTGAGAGGATTCGAGGACATTTTGCAACACTAAGGAGCACTGTTCATTTAAGAATCTTCAAATCACATGAGGATGAAAAAGCACACGGAAAGTACACAGAGTGCAGACACAGGCAAGGACACGCTTTTGTGCCAACTTCCAAAACAGGAAAAGATGCCCTGTGGTTACATAATGTAATGATCAATATGTCCATCCATACACCTTATGTGAAATTAGGTGTGCACAATTGAAAACAAGTGTATTTTCTTTGTGCTATAACAATATTAAACATGTTGCTCTTCCTCAAATGAAAAAGAAGAAACGATTATGAGACTTTGGGCATAGCAGAGCTAATAGTTACACTTTAAACATGCCATTTCTCCGTGGCTTGTGCTATGCTCTCTGTACTCATGAACACATTATGCAAGCCTTTGCATGGCATGATTGACAAATTTCTTACAGCCATTCAGTCATTTCATTTTTGTGGCTGTGGTTGATTTTGGTTTTGTGTTTAAATAACCGCAAATAGTGATTATTCAAAATATATAAAACGGTCCTTTTTTTCTTGGAATCTTTAAACCAGTTTCTTGAATTGCCACTGTCATTTTTTTCTCTTCGTCCTCCATTTCTCCCCTTTGCTCTTTCATCATCTGGTCATATATACGTCTAGAAAATTATAACAGAATAACCCTCTGTCAGGTTGAAAAACAACTGTTCTAATATTTACCAGAACAATCGTGTCAAAATATGAGATGAGTATCCAAAATCATTGCTGTAATCAGTGGGTCCCAACTCTTGCACTAGGACTGGTTGTCAATGAAAATGAACTGGTTCATGATACATTTTTTTCCATTTCCAAAATTTTTTGGAAAAATTTCATGAAGACAAATTTTATTTCTCCAACTGGGGAGTGGGATAGCTCGGGATGAAGCAAGTACATTGCATTCATTATATTTGCAGCTGCTCCCCAGCACTAGCATCACCGCCTCGGCTCCACCTCAGCTCATCAGGCATTACCTTTCATGAGGAGCACGCAACCTGCATCCCTCGCACGTGCAGCTCACAGTAGGGTTTGTGCTCCTGAGAGCATCCAATGCTGCGGAGCTCCAGGCGCTCATGAGAGTAACAGGAAGCGGCTGAAAATACAGATGAAGCTTTGCTCACTAGCCCACCACTCACTTCCTGCTGTGCAGCCCAGTTCCTAACTGACCACGGACCCAAACTGGTCCATGGCCAGGCTGGACACTGCTGTAGAGCCACTAAAGACTTTTTTTCGAAATTGTGAGAAATCTATGAGAAAGCACATTACTTGAAATGGTCCACTTTCACTGCTCCTGTGGAATTCTTAAAGACAGGCTCCCTCTATATGTCCATCTCCCTCAGAGGCCATTTCCATTTTCTTTACATCATAAATCCTTATAAACGTGACCTGGCTCAGTCGATGTACCCATCTACTCAAAAAAACAAACGTCTCCTTTGATCGAACATTTGTTAGGTTCACAGTATACAAAGAGAAACAAGAACAACATACATGAAACAAGACAAACATGAGATCTGAAAATGAATCTCTCTCAACTGATGAACCAGGATGAGGGCTCCACCAGACAACACATCTTCCTTCATCTTGGACTTCGCAGCCTTCAGGACTGTGAGAAAGTTTTTGTTTTTTATAAGCCACCCAGCTTAGGGCATTTTATTATAGCAGCCCGGACGGACTGAGACACTGGCCATATGGGTCATCTTCTGTGTCAGTAGAGAAGTGACGAATCTCTCCGATGAACAAGGTGCAGCTAGTGCAGGTAGGTGAGATAGCTGGAATGTTAGAGGAGAAATGCTCTCCTGATTTTAGTTTCTGAAACCAAAATCTGAGCCTGTCAATGCTTTATACAATCATGCATCCTTTCCTGACAAGAATATTTTTTGAGAAATGCATCATTAGTTGATTTCATCATTGTGAAAACAACACAGAGGGCACTCACACCAAACTGGATGGTGTAGCCACTACACACCTTATATGCTGTAGGCAAATGCACCTGGGCTATTGTAACAGAGAGAATGGCCTGAGAAAAATGGCAAAAATATTTTCCATCTCTTGAAAACCTCCTCCACTCCTTTTTGAGAACTAAAACCTGCATCCCTGCTTCAGCACAGGGGTTGGGAGGGGCAGGTGAGTGGTTTTTCTTTGTGTTTCAGGAGCTCCCACAGATACCCCAGGCTGGCACCAGCTCCCCAGGTGGGTGGAGAGCGCAGGCTTTGTCTTAGGCAGAGGGGGGACAATGAGTAGAGTTAACCACAATAGCCAAGCACTGAGGGCCCTCCCTTCAAAAGCTCTGCTCTCTGTTCTGCTGGTGTGGAGGAAATTTGGACTTTGACAGGAGAATGTCTACCCTTTTTCCTCCTTTGTCGGCAAAGTAATGAACTTCTCTTTCTTTCTGTCAAACCACTGTTCTCATTCTTCTGTCAGGGCCTCGAGGTCAAGTGCTGAGCTTTCGGTAACACCATGAGCCTGTGCAGCATGTTACTGTCCTGAACACTACAGGCAATTGGAGCACAGTGGTAAGTATTTTGTCTCTGGACATATCTGGAGTTGGAAAAGGTATAGTTGAAATATGAAAGGTTCAAAAGTTACACGTCTATAGGACACTGTGATACTATGATGTGTACCTGTCGCTTTCTGTTCCGGATTCCTGGCTTGTGGCTTCCAAAGCCCTTGTTACAGTCTTTTGTTACAATGTTGGGGGATTTAAACCCCAGAAGTAGGCCTCAGGAAACAGAACCTCCCTCTCCCTGACCCTCTCCCGTCCTCCTCTCACCTGCCAAGGCAGGATGCTAATCTGCTTCTCAGTCATAAGACCCTCATTCCAGTGAGGGTCCTGCCCCATTCTCAGACAGAAGGAAAGCTGCCCGGAGAGCCGAGTAGGATCTAGGAACAGGCTTTGCTGGGTTTTTCCACTCATTCTAATAGTCTAGATCAGATCCTTCTTGTCCAGTCACATTTTTCCATGGTTGTCAATCATGCCTGTCCCATGAAGTCTCCCTTGAGTCTCAATGAAGAGGCTCAAAAGGACAAGGTTAAGGGAGCATATGGATAGTTCAAGGCTTCCAGGGAGATGAATCAGAATTTACCCACATGCCAGGAGGGCGGCTCACCCCAACTGCATCTGGACAGAAGCTCCTGTGCTTGGGATCATTCCAGGCCTTGCCCTATGTATCCCTTCAGCTGGCTGTTTATTGGCGTCATATAAAACGTCCTTTGTGATAAGCCAGCAGGGGCACGTGTTTCCCCGAGTCTGTGAGCTGCTCTAGCAATTAATGAAAATTTACTTAAAATTAGCAAGAAGTAATGAGAACAAAAAATCAAAGTATCGAAACATGCTTGCCAGTGAAAACTAAAACAATGCACAATCCATAGCTTGGAGATTACTAGTAGTGGAGGCAAAGAAGACAGAATATATAAACAGGCCTCACTGCTGAGTTATAGAAAGCCTGTGTGTGCATTAGGAGGAGAATTGTTCTTCCCAGCCCTGAGTTTTGAGAGGAGTTTGTTAAGAAGGTCTTTGAGTTAATTCTATGATATCACCATCTAGTGTAGTTTAATAAAAATTGTAGTAGTCGTCCACATTGGGCTAACTTCTGCTTTTACCTTTGCGAATGTTGGGGCTCAGAAACTGATGCCCCAAACTGTGGCACTTTGACAGGCTGAACTGAAGAAGCCTCCCGGTCTCTCTAACCTCACCCTCCCCACTCTCTCCCCCAGAGGAGTGGAAATTTCTGCATCTGCCTAAGGCCCAGACCCGCCAAGGAGAATAATTGTTCCTTTTTTTCCCCTCCCCAAGAGACTGGGAGTCTCAGCACATCTGCCCAGACTCATTTAGAAGATGATGTTTTGCCCTTAAGACTCATTGTCCCAGATCCACAGAGAAGCCCCTAGGGCGGTGGGGTCCCCTTCCATTGTGAAATCACTCGTCCCTGGGCAATCATTCATTGCCCTCTCAACAGCGAATGCCTCTTCTCGCATCTATAGCCTGTTCTTCAGGGCCAGGCCCCGGCCCTTTCTGTCGCTCTTCCAGGTGGCGGTACAGAGAGTGTCTGTGGCCTCCCTGTGTCTGGGTCTCATCGCTGGAGGAAGAATGTGCTGCGCATTCTGCGCGGTGCGCACCTGAACACGGTGTGTCCCCTTGGTCTCCCTGGTGCTCGCCAGGTCTGCCTCCCGCAGTGCTGGCTCCGTGACCTGCAGGCCCCAGTGGCCTTTCCCCGTCGCCACCGCCCGCGCGCCCTCGCCTGTGTACGCCGAGGATTTCAGGCTCTCCGCATTAGAGCACTCTGGGTGGGACAGGATCTGGATTCCGAGGCCCAGGATTCGCTGCCTCTGTGCTCTGCATTCACACTCCGTGTGTGGGCAGTGCCAGCGGTGGCAGGCGCTGGTTTCCTCCCTGAGGTGCCTGAGGGAAGGGTCTCTCAGGGCCCTTCCTGTTGGGCTAGTTGGTGTGGGCCGTCTCCTCCCTGTGTGCCATCACGATGCCAATCCCCTCCCCTTGCCTCCAGTGGCACCTACGCATCGCTTTTGTATAAGGGTACCCTCAGCGTCCTTATCAGGGAATAGACCACACCTAGTGGCCTCATCATAACTGGAGCACATCTGGCTGGTGATCTATTTCCAAATAAGGTCCCATTCTGAGACATAGGGATTAGGACTTCAACATAGGCACTGTGTGGCAGATACAGTTCAACACATATCAAGGACCCACAGGGAAAATTCTGGTCTTTCAGTAAGAGTAGTGTTCTCAGAGCAATTTGTTTGCTTTCAACTTGTAACATGGGACTGCAGTGTGTACTTGGCGGGATTGGCTCTGTGTGCACATGGGCTGGGTGACGCTGAGAGCCCAGGGTGGCTCCCCCTGGCAAGTAGGTGGGGTCCCATGCTGGACAGTGTTTGGCTTTATTTCTTGGGGGTGGCTGTCTATCCACCTTCTCACCTTGTTCTCATTGTTAACTGGCAGCGTTTGTCTATAACCTGACAAACCACTTACATTTCTTTTCAGAACGGTAAGCTGGGCGGCCCTGGGAGACAGGGCTGGTGTTCGCCCTGGGGCATCTCTGAAGGAGCAGCACTTCCGCTTTGGTGGCGCCCCTTGCTGGGACCTTCTGCCTCCTTTCTGGCCCAGACCGCAGGCCTCAGATCTGTTGGCTTCTGGGGAAGGAGCTCCGTCCTCCTCACGTGTCATGGAGAGCCCAGGCCTGTCGGGGGCTCAGTAGATGCTCAGTGACCGTCTGCGCGGCTGCCCCGAGTGTGCTGGGCCGTCCACCCTGGGGAGAGGGCCAGGGTCGCTCCGGCTGCTTCTCACCCTCCAGCTGAAGAAGGATCTTCTGGCTCAGGGACTCTGTGGCTTCCCAGACCCAGCCTGGTCCCCGTGGCTCCCCTGGCAGGCTGGGCCCTGGGAGGCCTGTCCTGGGAGCGAGGCCCCGGCTTGGCGCCGGGCACTGAAGAGCAGCCACGCTGTGCGAGGCCTGGGCTGGTCCCTGTTCGGCCGGTGCTAGTGGGGCGTGGGGAGGACGGGCAGAGGCGCCGCCCTGCCACTCTCGGTGCTTTTCTCTGCGTTTCCGTTTGCACGCAGTGCTGTGACTCATGGCAGCCCTGACGCGTCTCAGATTTAAACATATTTGTTTTTATTCATTTAAGCCTTTTGTTTTCTGTTAAAGGAAGGTATTTCCCCTATTTTCCTCTTCTCCAAGCCTAAGAGCAGCAGAGAGAATCTTTAGCTGAGTCCTGCTCTCCCTTTGGGTGTGTGTCACGCCCCCTCCCCAGATACCCCCGTCCCCAGACTGGCAGAATCTTCACCCTTAGAGCCCCCACCCAGGGAACACACGCTTTCCCTAGGTCGCCAAACCCTCCTAGCAGCCGGATCAGAGGCTGAGTCCGGCTACGGGAAGGAGCTGCCTCCTGTGGGTGTTCCCTGGCACTGCTGGAGCCGCAGGACACTGGGGGCGTCCCTGGCCCCTGGTTAGAGGAGACCTGACATGAGATGTAGTCCTCCTGCTCGGGCTGGTTTGTCGCAGTCACTGTCCTCGTGCCCTCAGCGTCTTAGGCTGCGGCGCCCCAGTGCGCAGGCGCATTCGAGTCCCCTCTGTGTAACGCTGTCTGTTCCATGAGCAGGTTTTGACTGCGGTTGGACACACTCCCTGCGGGCCACCTTGTGCACAGAGTACACAGGAGTCCCTTCGGCAAGGACATCCCGCTTGTTCCCCTCGGCTCTCGGCAGGTGGAGAGCAGCAGAGTGTCTCGGCCCAGGAGGCATCCGCTCTGTTCCCTGGGCCTTCGTCTTCCTTGTCCAGGCCCAGAAAGGCGCTGGGCGTGGGGCCGGCTGCGCAGCCCTCTAGGCCTGAGCGGTCAGTCACTGGAAGGAAAGGGAGAGGCGGGTGGGCTGGGCCGGCAGGTCTGGGCGGTCGCTTGTGTGTCGCTTGGCAGCACCGAGTCTTCGCCGCTTCCCTTCCCCTGCCTCGTAGAGCCTGCGTGTGAACAAAGTCAGGCAGGGCCTGGGTGCCGCGTAGCTTGTCCACGCTGCTGTGTGCAGATGCGGAGAAGCCACACGCAGCCACGCGCCCCGGGTGCAGCCGCAGGACATCTGGAGACACTGAGGACAGGGCTGGATGTGACCAAGGATCTGGGGCCATGTGGGCCAGGGATGTGGGAAATGAAGACCACCTGCGTCTCGAAAGGGAGAAACGGCAGAGCAGATCCCGGTTTCCTCCAGGGGACCCTCTCCTTAGGAAAGGAGTTCCTGCCTTCGGGGTCAGTGTCTAGTCCTGTCCCTGCCTTGGAGACGATTTCATAGGCCCTTTATGGAGAACATGAGGTCACATCCCAGAGTTTCCTGATGGGACCACAGTGAGCAACACGTGGAAGAGTTGTGTCGCCCCAACCCCTGGAAATGGGTTTCAACATGACAAAGCGACTCTTGGCCCCACGGACAGCCGCCGTCCTCTGTGCTCTGCTCCCTGTGCCTGTGCCAGCTTCAGAGAAGAAGAATGAAGCTGAGGGGAGGCGCCAGAGGGAAGGAGGCAGGAGAAGCAGGCTGCCTGCCCCTTCTACAACCATGAGCACAGGGACAAGAGCCTGGCAGAGGGGAAGTCCCTGGGCAGCTGGTGGCCCTTGGGAAGAGGCCTGGGCCTGTCCCTGTTCCGGTGGCTGGGTTGCCATTCCGGCAGCCTGGGTGAGAACTCTGGAGGTTTGGGGAGAAGCCCTTGGTTCTGACTGAGACCTAGCCCATGGGGGATTCTTCCTGACGCTATGATTTAGTGCACCGCAGTGGTTAGGATGGAGCACACACAGCAAATGGCACCAACTCCATTCCCCCATAGTCATGGGTTGGCGAAGCCTTGGATCCTAGGTGGGTTCTGGGTTGTGGGCCAATTGTCATTGGACAGCAGATAGGAAGCCAGGGAAAGGTGTGCATTCGTCATGAAAGCTCAGTCAAGAGGGCAGAAACTGAGAAGGAGCAAGCCAATGTGTGCCACAGAGCACGATACGTTCCATGGCTTTTCAGGCTGCACCCCTCCTGCGGCACAGGCACAATTACTGTCTTCTTTGACCTCATGGCTTTCACTGGCACACTTGGGGGTCCAGGTCTGTGCTGGTCTGCTGGCGGGCTCAGGTCTGCAAACCCTGGTGTGTCATGGCCCGAGGTCGCCAGTCCTTGGGGAGACTCTCACATGTTAGGATGTAGGATTCCGTTCTGGGGCGCAGTGTGATGTCCCAAGGCAGGGAGAGCGAGGAGGGCCAGTGGCTGCTGGAGTCAGGTCGCTGCTGTGGCGGTGACTGAGAAGGCTCGTATCAGAGATGCAGGAGGATTTATGGGTGATGTGTCGATATCTTGACTTGTTTTTAAAATCCTCTGTCCAAACATGGAAGATAGATGACATAAACTGAAAATACTATAAAAATGGCTAGGGCTTGGTCATGGCTTCAGGGAGTTTGTTACACTGTTGATTCTATTTTTGTGTACATTTGAAAATAATGAACAATGAAAAATTAAACAGAAATTTAAAGAAAAGAAACAGGCTGCCTCTCCTGCTGCCTGCTCCCCTCTCAGCATTCCTGTCACTGCACTGGGGCGTTCTCTTTCCTGTGGACAATCACTGTGGTCTGAATTTTGTGTTCCTGCACCGCCTGGCGGCACAGTGTAGGTGCGCAGTGACTGAGATTTTGGTAAAAAGGTGGATAGATGTGTCAAGGGTGGGCGTCCCTCCTGGCCGCCATGACCAAGAGCTCCAGGGTCGGAGCTGCCCAACCCGAGCAGGGCCTGGTGGGCTGTGCTGATGGGGCTGGTGCATTACATGGGCAGATCTGAACCCCGGACTTCCGCCAGGACAGTGTGTGTGCTGTGCTCACTGCTCTCAGCCCTCCCTCCTGCCCAAGGTCTCGCTCCTCTTAGGTTGCTGTGCTCTCACTTTTCTCAGCATCTAAACCTCTTAGGAAAGGACTAGGAAGGTGTGAGTGACCAGTCACACTTAACCACACACCTGGACGTTTTGCATTTAAATAAGGGACAAGGCCTATGTTAAGGCAATGGGCCTAACTGGTGGCACTGTAGACTCTGATTAGCAGTCAGAGAAGTGTGGGGAGTGAGAAAGTGTTCCTGGCCCTGAAGATATGTCCGTTCACCACTGTACGTTCCTCTTGCACATTGTGTCCTTCCTGAATTAGAACCAGAGAGGGGGCTGAGATGAACGACTAAGGCAAGAGCACCATCCTCACTCCCGTGTTCTCCAGGGATCGTGGGTGCAGAGGGGGCAGGTAGAAAGGCCACGTTTCAGCCATCTCCATTCAGGACTTCAACTCGATTTCTGCTCCACTCGACCCAGGGGAGGTTGCAGCTGGAGTGACTGTCCCCCTCAACCCTGGCTGTGCCCTCTGCTCCCTCCCTGCAGGGTCCGCGGGGTGCCCTGCAACCCACCAGCACCGGCACCCTCTTAGGCCAGGAGACCTGTGGACACAGCCCCAATCCCCAGGGACAATCCCAGGAAAGACGGGGCATTCTCAGTGCTTGTCTTCAGCTCCTCCAGCCCTGCCGTCCAGTGCCCTTCCCCTCCCCAGACCCAGCACGTCACAGGGTCTCTCCCCTGCGTCCAGCCCTACTCTGCAGAGACAGCAGCAAACTTGCAGATGGAGGTGTCAGTGGCCAGTGGGGCTTCCCCTGTGACTGCCCCGACAGGTGTGCATGGTGGCTGCCCAGTGAGAAGAGAAGCGGTTCGAAGGCAGAGAGCAAAGTCACACCTGGGAACAAGGGGAAGCCGCCTGGCAAGGCAGGGCAGGGGGCGTTTGCAGGAGACAGCCTGGCCGGGTACAGGGGCTGCAGGTGGGACACAGCTGAAGGCCCAACAGCCACTGATGCTACCACTGACAGGGGCCACCTGGGGGCCTCTTCAGGGTGGGTGCAGCAGGTGGCCACAAAGCCATGTGAGGAGGGCAGACAGCTGGCGTGGGTATGGGGGGGAGCTGGAGGGGAAGGGCGAGGGCCAAGGAGGGTGTGCACGAGGGCGGGCATGCTGGGAGCTCTGGGAGTCCCAGGGGAGAGCTGGGAGCAGCAGGAGATGCAGGGAAAGGGGGCGGGGTCAGTGAGAAGAGGGCGGGCATGGGAGCCTGGCCACACTGCAGACTTGACTTCAGTGAGGAGGGAAACAAAGGCAGGCCCTCTCTGCCAGCGTCCACGGATCAAAGGGCAGAGACGGAGGGCACGTGGGGACAGGCTGGCGTCCTCCCAACTGTCCTGCGGGTGGTCATGTCTTCAGCAGGAGGCGAGATGCTAGGCAACTGAGGGGTGAGGCAGTGGGGGCGGCGTTTGGGAGGTGAGAAGCAGTCACTGTGGGACTGAAGGAATCTCACCTGTAGGGGACACCCGGCATGCACAACTCAGACACTTTGAGGGACTCCAGACCTGAGTGAAGACTGCCCTGGTCCCTGAGCGTGGGACCTGTTCTAACCACCCGTGTAAGACCAGGAACGCGTGTGCCCCAGCCAGAGGCGGTGTCCACCCTGCTCCGCCTGCCTGTCAGGACCCTCCGGGAAGCGCAGACCCCTGACTCCCCGCAGCAGACGGCTACTGGGTTCCGCCACTGGGGCTCGCTGTGTGGCCACGATAATCGGCCAGCTCAGCCTGCAGGTACAGGCGTGTGCGTGCGTGTGTGCGTGTGAGAGTCAGCAAGAGAGATTGAGAGAGAGAGCGCTTGGAGAGTTTGAGAGAGAGAGCGGCAGCGCCAGCAGGTGCCCCAGTCTCAGTGGGTGGGAGTGAGGGCTGGTGTTGGGGAGAAGGGGAGAGGGTGCACAGCTGAGAGGAAGGCCTCTTCCACGGGTGCCCGACAGGGCACAGGGCCCAAGGGCTTGTGTGCTTCGAGCCTTTCAGGGTGCCTGAGCCCGCCCAGCTGGGCATCTGCTCTGCCTGGCAGGAGGCTGCAGGTTCCCTGGGAGGCGCGTGGGCTGGAACCGTGAGCACTGGGGGCGTAGGGTGGTGCAGCTGCCCCTCCCAGTACTCTCCTGCCTCTCCGTGTTTTAAACAAACATCTCCAGGCTCCAGAAAGGGGACATCAAGTCCAACAGTAGGAAAGTGACAACAAATGGGTATGAAACAGCTATATATTGGAACAGTCACCTTCCTTTGGATTCTGTGACTCTGCAAACATTGACGTTTTAAAATAAATTTTTCGCATCAGTCTAATTATCAGGTACAGCAGGGGATAATCGTCTGTCACACTGCTTCCCCGTCATCTCAGCCCCAGGCCTCAAGAAGGCTCTGGGGCACCGAGGCAGGAAGACCCCTGGGGATGGGGTGCAGGAGACGCCCCTCAGGACCAGTGCCCGCTGCCCCCTGCCCCGCGTGCACCTCTGCAGACTCGGCCCCTACTGGTCTCTGAGACAGCCTGAGCCCCGCCCCTCCCCTTCAGGGCCTCTGGACTATCATCTGGTGAGCACCCACCCAGGGCCACCTGCTCTCTGATCCCACGACCCTTTCCCAGGGTGCCCTGCAGCCCCAGGGTAGCAGGGAAATACAGAGGGAAGGGTCAGGATTTCTGGTTATAATAACTGGATCCAGCAACCCTGGATCGGTAGCCTGGGCCGGTGTCTGGCGCTGCACCCCCAGGACTGGGTTGCTGGCTGACCCTGTGCTCTGCAGGGGCTGCACGTCCCCGCAGACACCCATCCTCTTTAGTGCTTGGCTCACCTTAGACCCCGGAATCCACACACTAAAGGCTTAAAGAGGAGAGACCTGCACCTCCTCCGCACATCTGAGTATTTGGGGACCCAACAGAAGTCTTACGAGTCACTTGTCCCCCGCAAGGTTTTCATGGTTTCGGGGGACAAGGTCAAATTAGATGGGACAAGAGTAGCTAGAAGGGAGCCAAGGTCTACAAAGCAGAGTGGTGGGTCCCCTTCGGTTCAGGAAATTGCTGGAGTTAACTTCAGAGAGCCCTGGATGCTGCCCCGAACTCTCTGGGTGCCCTCAGGTAACTTCCTGGACCTCTCTGGGCCTCTGTTTTGCCATCAGTAAAAGAGGATGGTCACTCCGGCTGACAGAACTACAGGTGGACTTGACACGATGGTGGTGGCAAGGGCCTGGCAGAGCCTTGGAAAGTGCCCTCCATAAGGCAATCACTCTGCCACCCTCACCAAAATCTTATTTTCAAAGAGCTGCCCTCAGGCATGGACAATTTCAGGGTAACTTGGAGCCCTCTCCTGGCCCGTTCCGCCTGGGGCTTCCAGAAGACAAGCTTGTGTGAGGCAGCCCTGTTCCATGGGCTGAGGTCATTTCTCTCAGGACCAGGGCAGGCCTTGGCCCCATGTCCAGGGCGTCCCAGGCAACTATCTGTGACAAGCCGGGGCTGAGGTGTGGTGGAAGCCCAGGCTCTCCATGGCCTGCTATTGCAGGGACCGAAACTGCCCTCCCCTGGCTCACGTGATGACCTCGGAGGCAAAGGGAACCTGCCCAAAGGCAGGATCATGGGGCTCTCACATGTTGGGGTTCCTCAGAGACTGGGCGTGTTTGGGGGCCCCAGGGCCGGGTGGCAGGGATCACTTACCTTCCTGCTGCACAGACAGCAGAGCCCAGAGCAGCAGCGGCACAGCAGGGGGGATGAGCCAGTAGCAGTCCTGGAAAAGGCTCTGGGGGAGGGGAACATCCCTGACAGTCCAGCAGATAAGGCAAATGTCAGCAGCTGGGGAGCCTGGGTGGCCTCTTCCCCACCAACAGCCACCCATCTGCCCCCACTCCCTTGGCCCCATACAACCCCACCTAAGGGGCCACAGTGGGGCAGGAGCTGGGGCTGGTCTCCACCTTTCAGGGATCAGCCACCACCTGCGCCTCCACGTGGGAAGCCAACACTGCAGAAGAGTCTGGCTGCACCCGCGGCAGCGCTCTAGTTTCCTGAGAGAGGGAAGGGACAGCAGAGGAGTAGGGACGGCCCCTGACAGCCCTGCTGGGTCTCAGAATGCCCTTCCCACAGAGCGTGCTGCCACGCACCCACACACGTGTAAACACACACACAAGTGTAAACACACACACTTGCACACAGATACACGTGCACACTCACCAACACATATGCACTCCCAAACACAGGCACATTCACTACACACGTACACACAGGCACGTGCAACGTGCACACGCACACGGGGCGCGCCAGCGGCTTCAGGGAGCTTTTCCCGGGTTGAGGCGCCATGCTGTGAAAGGGAGGTAGCAGGTCCTGACCCCACAGTTGCACCAACTGCCCAACTGCCCTTCAGTTCACCTGCATCTAACCTTCTCCCTGAGAACTGCCTTTCTGCCAAGCCCTGACTGTGTAGCCCGGGCTGTTTCTGAGATGTGTGAACACGCTAATGGCCACAGTCCCTGGTAAAAGGCAGAGTACATTTTAATATGAACGTCTTTCATCCTTGAATAACACAAAGCTCTGAAAGAATTAGGTTCAGGTTTTCACATATCATACCCAAAAATATTTTGGACTAACTCCAAAGTAAAAACATTCACCTGGGGAGTAATTTTTTCCCCAAAATATAGACCACCACGGAATAAAAGCGCTACTTCACAGCCCTAAGCGGGACTTGGGCACCGCCAGGCTCCCCTGTGCACGGGGAGGAAGCTCAGGGAAACGCCTGCTTAGGCGGGTGGCGCTGATGGGTCAGAGCTGCCACTTTACATCCATTCCAGCTGCCCTGGGCAGAGCTGGGACAAGTCAGTGAAAGCTGAGTGCTCTGCGGGTCCCCATGGTTTCTCCTGGGTCCCAAGGTTAGCTGTGGTGGAGACCCAGAGCCGCCATCCCTCCCTCCAGAGCCCAGCAGCTGACTGAGGGGAAGGGGTCTGAGATGAACCAAAGGTTTTCTGTCAGGGCTTGGCTGACAGGATGGCTTCCTGCATGCGCGACCGGGGGCGTGGCCTCGAGGTCAGTGGAGCAGCTGTGCTCACGTGAGAGCACCTTGGCAAAGGGGCGGGGCGAAGCAGCCAGGGAAAACGGTCAGGAACCGCAGGGGCGGAGCCAGTATCTGATTGACAGTCGAGAGGCCAATGAGAGAAGGCAGGCCACACCAAGGAATGCGCCACCTTCAGTTAAACTGTCAGGGCGCCCGGGAAATCTAACGGGTTTTGCCTGTCAGGTTCCTAACTTGGCTGGGCTTGGCCTAGCGCTCTCAAAACTGACCTTTTCTGGCGGTCTTAGAACCCATTCGTGGACTGTCTCCTCCGTCGTCTGTACGTTTCTCCACAGGCGCTGGTGAGCACTATTACCACGTCCATTTCACAGGTGCGGCAGCTGAGGCTTAGAGGTAGGAAGCTCAGCAAGGCCACAGCTGGGATCCCACTCTTGGCACCTGACCCCAGAGCCCATCCTGTCCAGCGCGCTGCAGTTCCACTGGCCCGGACACCAGGGAGTCAAGGTGGAGCAGGGCCGGTAAAGGGACCCGGATGAGTGCAGTTGAGCAGATTGCTGGCGGCAGTGTCCTCGGAGTGGACGTAAATAGTGATAAGTAGCTGTTGGGTCCCACACGGCGTGAGAGCTCAGAGGATGCAGATGGGAGGGGAGACAGGAGACAGGAAGGTGAGAATGTGGGTGTCATGGGCCAGGCTGTCCCGCAGCTGGCAGAGCCTGGCAGCACTGCAGTCTGATGTGGCTTTGGGTTACCCCCAGGTGCAGAAAAGCTGTTCCCTCGGGGCTGTGGTGTTTCCCAGGTGTGAAGTTCAGCATTTTAGGAGGACACCAGTATTAGTCCCTAGGAGACAGTTGCCTCTGTCTGCTAGGGCTGCGACTACAAAATACCACAGAGAAGGTGGCTTAGACAACAGATTTCTTTTCTCATAGCCCCAGAGGCTTAGTGTCTGAGATTAGGGTGCTGGCAGGTGTGGTTCCTGGCCAGGCCTCTTTCTAGCTTGCAGAAGGTCACCTTCCATCTGCGTCCTCACATGGTGGGAGGACTCTCCTTTCTATCTTTGTCTCTGTCTCTGTCTCTGTCTCTCTCTCTCTCCTTATAAAACCAGCAATGCTGTTGGCTTATGAAGGCACACTTAGGACCTCATTTAATCTTAACTGCCTCCTTAAAAGCCTTGTCTCCACATGGAGTCACATTGGGGGTTAGATTTTCAACACATGAATTTGTGCACACACAGTTATTTCCATAACAACGGTTCATACTCAGTAAGTATGTAACAAGTGGTAATGGAGCACTGAAGAAATTGAACAGTTTGACAACTCACATGTAACTGAAGTTCTTTCACAAATATTAGCTGGTATAATGCGCATGACATTCCCTGTGCCTGGGTGAGCCTTAGCCGTGGGGGAAAATTCTGAGGAGAACTTTCGTGGGAGCTCATGGTTATCTTCCAGTAGCCACCACGAGGAGGTCTGAGAAAGTTACACCACGTGTCCTTAATGGGCCTTAGTGAATCCATTATTCTCTGATTGACCTAAACATTTCTTGAACTGTCATTTAGCTGGTGCAGCTTCTGGAATAATGATATCCCTAATGAACACCCCAAGTAAAAGGAAATAATAATGATGTTTATTTTGTATTGTTTAATGTTGTCCTTCTAGCTGAAGATACAAGGTAGAGAGATGAAAATTTGAGGTAATCATAAACTCTGAGCCAGCTGAAGAAGTCGGATTGTGGCTCCATCTGGCACCTGCCTGAGCAGGAGAATGAAAAGACAGGGCATTTATTTGTCAGTGAGATTCCTAGAGCTGTCTTGAAATCCAAGCCACCTTGCAGTTCTAGTCTGCAAGAAGTCCCACCTTGTCATCAGCTTCTGTTCTTGGTGTTCCCAGACAGTCTCAGTTCTTAATTTCTGACCACCTAAACTTTCAACATAACTCCCTTTTACTTTTGCTAGTTCTCCCCTGCAAACAGAGCACTTGACTGGAACAGAGTCATGTGGACCTGGGTTTGAACCCTTGGCTCTTCCCTTATTAGCTGTGACTGTGAGCACAGCTTGAGCATCAGTACACAGCTGATCCTTGTGGTGTTGTGGAGATCCAAGGAAAGCCTAAAAGGAAAAGGGCCTGCAGAGGGTTTAGCACCTAGCCAATGCTCAGAATGTGTGACATCCCTTTATTCTTTCCCTTTCTGTCATGTTTAAATGGCTTTTCAATGGCATATTCCCCTCTCAGGATTAAATTCTCTTAGTGTTTTCGAGTCATCTTACTTATGGTAATCCCTCCACCTGTGTGTGTCTCTGGTCATTTCAATGTCCCCTAAACTATAATTGGAAGTTCATAATGGCAACCACCTTCCCCCTTCTAAATGGATTGACACTGTCACTTCTCTTCATGAGGCCAGGTTAGTAAGGATGAATGACGGATCTATTAATATTAACACAATTGGTTTTAAAGTTGTGAACATTTGTACTTAGATTGACATGGAAATAGCTTGCAGTGAGAGAGGTGTGGGGACCAGGATGGTAGAGTGTGTCCTCCAGATGGTGACTGAAGGAGGAAAGTGGGAGATAAAGCCTTCTCAGAGAAAATAGTTTCATAAGAGGAGACAAAATACGATATAAAAATGGAGCAGAAGTTCTTTCTAGACCTTGGTCTAGCAGGGAAATAGAAATAAGGTCATGTTGGGATTGGGAAGCTGTTCCAGGCAAAGCTCAGTGTCTTTGAAGACAACTCTGTATTCTGGAGCCAAAGAGAACGCTGTTATTTCTTCAGGACAGAACACTATGGCAGGGGCTCTCATCTGTACTGGAAATGGAGGCCAGGGAAAACTAAGAAGCACACTTAAGGTATCTGTAAGGTATGGGTGTGTATGCTCCCCTGTGTATGCTCACTCCTACAAGCTGTGCTCATACTTCTCTGCCTGAGTGCCATGATTTCCACGTGTCCACAGCAGGGTAAAGTGGAGCAGCTGTGGCATGCAAATGCTGCCTTGCAGAGACACGGGAGCAGAATGCTGCAAAGGTCCTCACAGATACCCTCCCTGACCCCAGAGGCGGACATCTTCAAGAGCACATCTGCAAGCCTTTCATAGACGCATTAGAGTGGGATCCAAGCAGCAGGAGAGTGGTAGTACAGGTTTGGTTTTGGGGCTCTCCTAGGCTCCTTCTTGCTATAGCCCCCACATATGTCCCTGGATGGGCTGCATGATATTGGCATAGCTTCATGTGGGCATGGAACGGATGGAGAGGACATGATCTCTGCCTTCCAGGAAATGTACAACCAAGGAGAAACTTGGTAACAAGTATGAAGACTGCTCTTGATTTCAATCCCCTTCTTCCTGGCTCACGAGAGAGCTACAGTATTTATTTTATTCCCAGGACCATGGTTGATAGAACCCAGAAAGTTCATGGCATCGATTTTGCATTTCCCTTTGTGCCCTATTCCATCCTGAAAGGACTTCCTGGCAGGGCTGCTATTCCAGGATTTGGGGGTGGCCAAATGGAGATATTTGAGAGTCCAGTGGGCACTATGTGTGTGAACAGTGAGAGAGCGTGATTACAGCAACTGAGAGGTGGTCTTGCTCCCTGTGACCGGTTGCCTTTGCAGAGATTTTCATGTTAGAGTTAGGCAAAGTAGCCTGTCAGTTTATCTTTCTTTGTAGTAGTCGTTTTGTCTATAAAAATGTTAAACACAGCTGGAGGGTGTGAGGTCAGTTAGGCTCAAGGCAAATGAGGATGTGAATGGCTGTGGACGCCATGCCCCACAGCACTGAATCTTTCCAGATTTCTCTGGACACACAAATGCTTTGATGTTGAGAAACACAAAAATAACTGGCTTCTTCACAGATTCAACATTCTGTCTTAGTCTCCAGGAAGTAGTTGACTGAGCACTGGAGGAATGTGATCAAGGGCCCCTGAGTCTTTCCTCCCTGGCTGGGAGTGAGGGAGGCATTTATTCCAGGTTGGCCATGGAGGAGAGGGGGAGGGCTGTGTCAATGGCCCCCAGCATGTCTCCTGTGTTTATTTCGTTTTATAGGAAGTACTGTGTGCTGGTGAAATGAGTATGTTTCTGTGCGGGGATCTCCAAGAAGACAAGGACCTGTACATCTACATCAATGAGATGATGAAGGAAGAGGACAGCTTTAGCCCAAGCTCCAGGGGTCCCACCTCCAGCCCCAGCCAGCAGCCCACCCTCTGCAGGGCAGGGCAGGGGCACAGGCACCGTGGAGAAGGTGAGCTGGGAGACCTGGACATTGCCACTCAGCCTGAAGCACAAACACTGCCATTCTAGCTGACAGAATAAACTGTCACCCACACAGAGTGAAGCGACACCCTCACCCCGTCCCTCACCCCACTGGGATGACAGGTCAGGGGTGGGGAGTGTAGACTGAGGCCAGAGCTGGGGCAGGGGAGGCACCAAGTTCGGGATGCTGTGTGCGCCCTCTGTGGCACTTGGTCATTACCACTCCTGGTGTCCAGGGTTGGAAAGTGAGGCTCGAAGGCCAGAGGGCGTGTGGGGGGCGGCTATAGTGCAGAGAAGGCTCCCTTCCACCCCTGCTGAGGGCCAAAGGGCTCGGGCTGTGGCCCTAACCCTTGGCCAACTGGCCTGAGGCGTGGGATTCGCTGCCTCAGCACAGCACAGACTGAACCCTCATGCCCAAGGGGTCTCAACCTGGGCCCCCCCCTCCCAAGCCTGGGCCAGACCCAGTGCACTTGGACCCCCCAACCCCCATGGTCTCCCCTCCCTGTACTCTCGCCTGAGGTGGAAGTTACGAGTAGGGGGGCTGCCCCAGGGCTTGTTCCCTCAGAGCCACCTCTATGGCGCTGTCACTCAAGACCACGAAGGCTGAGGTGTCGCCGGGCTCACATAGCAGGCTGATCAGTCTGGGCAAGGACACCTGGGAGGGGATGTGCCAGAGGGTCAGTGCCAGCCCTGACTCAGCACCACCACGTGACCTCCTACCCCATGACCTTGGGTGCTTGTCCTGCAGGGACCTGTGAGGCCTGCAGCCGCCTCTTCCCCAGACAGGCCAATGCTGTCTGTCTCTGACCCTGCCTCTCTCTCCTCTCACCCGGGTTGGTAAAGTGTTACCATGGTGCTTATTAAAATAACACCAGGAAGGACTTGGTCAGACAGAGGGATTTCTTGAAATTTGGAATGGTGTGACTTTGTCATCGCCTTCACTGGGGAACATTATGCAGGCAGAAGAAACACGAGAGGTCAGGACTTAGGGCTTCATGGGAGGCAATGTGGCTGCCTGCAGGGAGGTCAGCACCTCCCAGCAGGGCCCTCCATGGCCTGTTGCCCCCTCCATAGCAGCTTCCCGGGCCCCCAGGAACCCTTGGAGGCTGCTGTGAGCAGAAAGGGATACCATCTCTTCCTTTTGTACACAAGTAAAAAGTAAGCCCATAGAGCAATTTCCTAAAGATGTCACAGCCAGACGCTGGCAGAGGGACTCCAACTCCAGACTCACCACCCAGTGACCATCATGTGCTCTCCTGAAACCCTTATCAGAGGATGCCCAGGCCCTGGAGCGGGAAGAGACAGAGGGGAGAGGGGTGGAAGAAAGAGTACAAGGAGGAGATGGAGGGCAGGGAGAAGAAGGCAGTCTGGGGGACAGAGGAGTGGGCTGGGAGCCAGGAGAGGAGGAATGCAGAGGCCTGTGTGACCCCAGCTGTTTGTACCGTCTGCAGGACTTTCAAAGACATGAGTCCAATGTCCGCTTCATTCTGGAGGAAGAAGAAAAGAACTAAAATCTGGAAGCAATGCCCGTTGACCTGCATGGGACAAGGTTTCCCAGGGCCACTGACCAGGTTTGGGAAGGGCAAAGTCCCCCGACCCCAGTCCTGCCGGCCCAGCCTCTGGTTCCCGCTCTGCTCCGCATCCTGCCCTTTCTCTCTCCCCTCCCCTCAGCCTTTCTGCTGCCTCAGGGCTGCCCTGCTCACCGAGGAGTCCCACTGGCTGAGCTTCAGGAGGTAATCTATGACCACCCTGCCCTCGGGAAGGCTCAGGTAGTCACGCTGCCCCAGCACCTCCAGAAACCTCAGGAGGGCCGGCGCACCTGCAGGGTCAGACAGCATCACATGCAACACAGCAACGGACCTCAGGGACACCATCTGACCCCTTGGGTTCCAAGTGAGGACACAGAGCACCTCAGCAAGTTAGGGAGTACTTCAAGAAACTCAGGTCTCCCGAGTCCAAGTCGACTGTGACTCTTCAGTGGACTCTGTGGCCATGACAGAGCACAGTCACTGAACCTGACCACTTCCAACGCTCCCTGAAGTTCTCACTGACATCCCTGCCACCGTCCTCCTGGAGGACTCTGAGCGCTGGGCTTGTCCACACCGTGTGTCCCCACAGGTGTCTACATAGGGGGAATCTGGGTCCAGGAAAGGCCTCGTGTTCCCGCCTTCATGGGTCAGGCCAGTAACAAATCCTGCAAGTCCCCAGGGCCCAGCCCTCAATGCCCAGACTCTTCGTGAGCCTTCTGGGACTTGGGCCCCTGTCTTTCAAGATGATGCCACTGTCCTACATTTGGTTCTCACAGCCAGGGTGCCCTTTTCTTGCTGCCCTGACGCTCTGTCCGCATGGTCAGAGCTGGGAGGCCCTGCTGCCTACACCCAGGCTGTGGTGCTTGTTCAAAGTATAGCTGCTCAGACCCCACCCCACACATGACACCTGAGGCTCTTCTCCCTCAGCAAACTGTGCATCCAGGCACTGAGGAGTGTCATCTGGAGCTCCATGGCTCCCCTGAGGACACCACAGTGCTGCCCAGAGCAAAGGCTCTGAAGGAGGCAGGTGGGAAACACCTTTCTGCACTCAAACTCTTCCTGGGCTTTTAGAACTCCAAAGTATCCCGATTGCAAATCCTGAGGGTAGGACTGGCTTGGGCAGCCCACTCTCCCTTCCTCCTCCTTCACCAATCCCCTCCCCCTCCGTGAAGAAGACCACAAGGTCTCAGAGGCAACGGCCCTCCCAGCACAAACACGCAGCCCTTCAGCTCACTGGTCTTCGATCCTTCTGTGTCACTGAGATGACCGAGGCCAGCACCTCCCTCTGTGTCTCAGCCTGTAGACCTTGGCCCTGGCTCTTGTTCACTGTGAGCTCCCTCTCCTAGCCATGGTGACAACTCTTTAACCTGCCTTTGGTCCATCCCCTCCATGAGCCCATCCCAGCCCCTGAGGGATCCCTCCCTGCATTCCTGCCCAGCGTCGTCATGCACCTGTTTCAGTAACTTAGTGCACGTGGCCTGGCATCATTTCCCTGCAGGAACAGCCTCACCTTGCTGCCCACCAGCAAGCTCATGGACAATGAGGCCTCAGTTGTCCTCATGTGTGTACCTCAGTGCCCAACACTGTGTCACACACACAGACAGTGTTTAACATAAGCAGGTGACTGCAGGTGGAGCCCATTCTTCCAGGCGACAGTCAAAGATAAACTATGGTAACCACCTGCATAGCAAGCGCTGTTCTAAGCACACCACATACTGTCAGTTCATTTAATCATCACTTAAACCCCCTACAGAGAGGTAATATTTTTATCCCCAATTTTCAGAAGAAGCCATAGACGCACAGGATCAAAAATGGTTTTCCCAAAACTGCACAGCTAGTAAGAGGCAAAGCCAAGATTTGAACCCACTGAGTTCACTCTGAGTTTAAAAAAGTGTTTTAACTTCTAGACTTGACTGTTGCCCAGAGAAAGGAATCTCCTAGGAAATACCAAGTCCTGGAACCCCAGCCCCCCACGGCATCCCACTCACCTCCAGGGACCACCTCCCTGAAGGACTCAAGGGCTGACAGCACTGTGGACTCCTCTTTTGATGGGATTGCCCTCTGCAGAACATTGACTGTGGTATCCAGGCATAAGTGTCCTATCAGGAGGGTGTGATGACAGACTCCTGGCGGTTTGTGAGTGGCAGGGAATAAGTAGGAGGAAATCATGCTCCCAGCAACCACTGAGGCCATGGGTGGATAAATCAGGGGCCATCAGGATGGAGAAAGGAAGGAGGAAGGTAGAGAACCAGTGTCTGTCCGCATCACCATGTGCCAGACACAGTGCCAGAGGCTCTCCCTGAGCCAGACCTTGGTCCTGCCCTGCCCCCTGCATTCCCTGCCCTATGCCAGCACACTGTGCTCATCACTGCGGAAGTGACATTATTTGACTTTATTCTGAGCTGCAGGTCCCCACGGAAGAAAGAGAAGGCAGTCCCAGGCTATGTGAGTGGAAACCAAAGGAGTGGGGGGCTAATGCCTGTGCCCTTTCAGATCCATTTCATTTCACGCAGAGCTCTCAGGAACTCCTTTGCATCTTGTCTAGAAGGATGGAAGCCCCCAGGAAGACTTTGGCCCCCCTCCAGTCCTGGAAGAGGCAAAATGGTCCTGAGTACACAAACATACTCATACACAAGTGCATGCAGACACACACACACACACACACACACACACACACACACCCCTGGGGCTAGGGAAAGGTGTTGATTTACTCAGCAGGTTAAATGCCCTCAAGGCTAAGGTTTGGGTCTCTTCACAAATTGGTGGTGGCTGGCTCTCTTTGTCACTCATCTGTAGGGAGAAAAAGGCCTTCAGACTAAAACCAGGGCCCCTGGGTATGGTTGAGGAACTGAGGCATGAAGCTAAGAAAGACATGATACTTGCCTATAAGGAAAGCAGGAAAATGCAACCCAGGAATCCACATTCCCCTCCCCATAGGGAGAAAGACAGTGGCCAAAAAGTCAAATACCAGGAAAGTATCAATTTTGCTAAATTTTGCAGACTGAACTCTGATCTTTTTCTTTTGCTCAAAACTCCTTCCTAAGGAGGCCAGCTGAGTCAGGCTGACAAATGGTAAATCCCCACTAAGCATCTTTTGTTAACCAAATAAAGGGGTCATTTACTTCCTAACCTGATTCAGGTATAGCATTAACCTCACCTAAAAGATAAAAAGCCCCTATCTTAACTCAAGCATCCTAGCAGCTGCCTATCTTAAACTTGAAACATTCTCCTGTCTGGACCTCCCAGAGTGCTCACACCTTTATCTTAAATTAAGCATATCCTTTCTGGTCTTTTAGATAAAGCCTAACTCTCTCAGCCAATTGCCAGCCAAAGAATCTTTAAACCCACCTATAACATGTAAGCCCACCTTTTTGGACCAAACCAATGTATGCCTCCCAAGTATTGATTTATGACTTTACCTATAATCTTTTCTCCCTGAAATGTATAAAAACCAAACTGTATCCAGCCTCAGCCAGTCCACTTGCCCAAGGCCTCTTGGCAGTGGCTCTGGGTTATGGTCCTCAAATTTGGCTCAGAATAAATCTCTTGAAAACTATTTTACAGAGTTTCGCTTTTTTTCCATTGACAACACCAATGGTCCTCCTCCACTCCATAACAGGGAAGTCTGCAAATTTCCCACATGCAGATGGAGAGGCTGGGGCTTCTGCCCTTTTCCCAAAGTTCAGGGGGACCAACAAAGGCCCTTCACCCCAGGAAACATACAGATGTGTCCAACTGTCCTCACCGGAAAGATCTCATTTTGTGTCCAGAATCCAGGCATGTCACTGTTCTGGGGAAGCCTGAGGTGTGTAAGGCTGAGATCCCCACGTGAAAGACACCTGTGCTGTGTGGAGTGGCGCCCTGGTGGGGGGAAGCCGTCCCCTCCAAAGCAGAGAGAAAGGGGAGTCCAGGATGGCTCTACTGCCGCGGCACTCACCTGCTTCAGGAGGATGCCTGCCAGCTCCTCTGCCCAGGATTGTACCTTGCGACCTCCGTGTTTGCTGCGGTACAGGGCTTTCAGGACGCCGCAGAGACACTGTGTGAGGAAGGACAGTCAGGGTTAGGCTTCCCGGCCCTTCCACAGCCTCAGGGGAAATACTCTTTCCTCACATCTTCTCTTCAAGGAGGAGCCAAGCCACAGTCACTGCACATGGCCCTCCTGGACCTTTTCAAGGCAGGCTCAGGGGCCAGTTCTTCCACAGCTCAACGCAGCCAGAACCTGTCCTTTCGCCTCACCCAGCAAGCTAGACTGATTTTCAAATAACCCCATCTTTCCACAGAAACTGCCAGGGCAATTCCACACTGCAAGTGTAGGCTGACTTCAAAGAAACAGGATGACATAACCATGGCCAAAGCAAGAACCGGTTCTATTGTTCTCTGACATTAAAATTTATGAAAACTAACTCTAAAAGCCTGTAGAGCTCCCTTCTGCCTTCTGGATTCTTCTGTTTTCTGGCTTATTCTTACCACTGGAGTGAGGAAACAGCCTTAGATTCCACATGTGAGCACATGCCCTTTGATTTTTTTTTTTTTAAAAACAGCATTGTGGAAGGATAATTGACATATCATAAACTGCACATACTAAATGTACAATTTGAGGAATTTTGACCAATGTATATACACCTGTGAAACTGTCACCACAATTAAAAGAATGAACATTTCCATCATCCCCAAGAGTTGGACCTTTCTCTGTGTAATCCCTCCTTTCCTGCCCTACCCCAGGCCACCAGGGCTCTGCTTTCTGTCAATGTAGACCTGTCCCTTGTATTTTACCAAACCACCAAATTGTTTTCCAAAGCAGTGTTCCCATTCATTCTAATAGATGTGTACTGGAGTCTCAAATATTCCCATTTTCTTAGGACTTTTTCAATGTCTCACAGCAATGATAAGGGAACGCTAGGGCGGAACGCACAAACCTCAGGTTACTCAGATTTACAATTCTTGGAAACAGTTTTGGGGTCACATTCCAGTTTAGATTCTTGCTCACTGACCAGCTAATGTGTGGTGATACTTGTCCATCCCCAAGGAAACCAAGAAACAGAGGGAGATGGCGGATGTCCATAAAGTGACAGAAATGAAGACTATATCTTCCCACAGCCTTTTTTTATTAAGAGAAAAAGGACTTTAATGCAAGCTGAAAGGAAGTGAAAATAGACTGCAAGGTGCAGAGTGGGCCA